CTTTCAGTCAGGAATTTGGTGTTTAAAAAGCCGTCACAGCTGCCAAAAATAAAACTCGTTCTTACTCGAAGCTGCAATCGCTGCGATGCACTTCACACAGGGACCCGACATAGTCGCCCAGGCACGTGCACGTGAATCCGCCCACGTGGTTTGCGCAGCTACCGCCGTTCATGCACGGCCCTGACAGGCACTCGTTTACGTCAAGCTGGCAATCGGGTCCTGAAAATGAACGAGATCTGAAACTTGAAAACTTGCATGGGTTGGGAATCGAACCTCCCATCACTGCAGCAATGCTCAAGACCCTTGGGTCCTATGCCAACGGACGTACGTTACGTGGAATTTCGCACTCTGTACGTCGGCTTTTAAATCTTTTTTGCGCATTTCGGTTGAAAAAAATGATCTAGCGAAGCGAAATTTGGAATCATACAGAAACAAAAGCTGGTTACAGTCTAGGGTGTTCAAAGATGGAATGTGTTTAACAGATTAGGGAAAGTCAGTGTTGACATAATTATGCTCAATGTTGACTGGTAACAAGCAGCTATTTTTGACTCGTAGCAGACTCCGCGCACACCTTACCTGTGAAACCTGCCCCACAGAGACACTGGTAGCCGGTACCGATACTGAGGCAGGTGGCCCCGTGCTGGCAGGCTGACTGCACACAGAAGTCCACGGGATCCTGGCAGCGGGCGCCGGTCATACCCGGCCCACACAGGCACGTGTAGCCGTTGATGTCGTCCTCGCACGCGCTACCATTCCCGCAGGGACTGGACGCACATTCGTTGATGTCGATGGTGCACAGGTCCCCTGAAGACAGGATCCAAAAAAAAAACAATGGCCACTTCAATTTGGACATTAAAAGGCTAGTTTTTTCATGATTCTCGAGTCAGGAACTCAGACACAGACTAGTGGTCAACTGAGATCAATTTGAATCAAGATAGATACGCTGAACGGCAGTCAGGTTTTTTTTCCACTGAGCCCTCAACCTGGACTCAAACTGAACAGCAGCTGGGGAAGAGGCATGTTAGGGGTTGAGGACAACATTCCTCTCTGCGGTGGCGCTGTTCAAAATGTAAAGTACCAGTTAGCAGGTGGTGCTCTACGTGGCGGCCACTTTATTAACAGGTGTAATGCAGAAGAAAGATGCACTCAAAAAAAACATAAGCTAAAAGATCGCAGAGGTTGGTGCGATGTGTAAATATCCCTCTGAGGACCTATCACAGATTCTACACCACTGGCAGATGACTGTGCACTGATAAACAGCCAGGAAGTCTCGTGGCTCACCTTGGAAGCCTGGTGGGCATTCACACATGAATGCATTGACCTGGTGTTGGCGGCATGTTGCTCCGTTCGAGCACGGCCCCGATGCGCACTCGTCCACGTCAATCTCGCAGTTCTGACCTTCGTAGCCCGCCGGACAGCGGCAGGTATACAACTCCGTGAGACCTTCTAGAAACAGCCCGCTGTTCTGGCACGGTGTCCTGTCGCACAGGGGTCCCGATCGGTGCTGTGGGCACACGCAGCGGAAGAAACGGCCTTGGTCGACGCAGGTCGCGCCCTCGTGGCATGGGGATTCGGCGCACCAGTCGATGACCGTCTGGCAGAGCCGCCCTGTGTAGCCGGCCAGGCAGGTACAGCTGTAGCCATTGGGCAGGTCGTTACACGTCCCGCCATTGAAGCAGGGATTGCTGATGCATTCGTCGATGTCCACCTCACAGTCGGTGCCACTGAAACCTGGACTGCAACGACACTGGTACCTGGCACCGACAACCTCGCAGGTCCCACCATTTTGGCATGGACTGGGGGAACAACTGTCAACCAATCATAACGCGAAAAATTGAAATGCAAATTATAACCTCCACATACTTGATCATAAAAATACAAATCTTACTTCTCTTCTTACCTGGTCCTTTCCTGTTCGCAGTGGATCCCGTGATAGTCTGGCGCACACTGGCAGAGGTACTCACCAATCCCATCTAGGCACGAACCACCATTCTGACAAGGAGCCGAGACACACTCGTCGACGTTAATCTCACAGTGAGTGCCTGGGGGAAGGCGAGGAAATCACAATTCATTCTGCATCTTAGCTGGCGGTACCCGAAAAGACGAAAACTTAACGTTACATCTGTTGGAGTTTCTTTCTTTGTTCCTGCATGAGCATTTAAGAAATCTGCCACATCTGAGGTGACACCGACTTTTTGGACGGACCAAGTGTTGAGGAACTGCTTTCGTTGGAACGTGATGTGACCAAAGTTCAGCTCTATCTCTCTGAACACGTTCATCTAGAGCCGGCCTCTAAACCAAACAGTTCACCTTCATCGTCAACTGTCACAGCAATGACTGCATAGGATTGCCCGTACCTTCGTATGCTGGGTCGCATACGCAGACGTAGCTCATCAGCCCGTCCGTGCAGGTTGCACCATTGATGCATAGGTGGTTCCGGCAGTCGTCAACGTTCTGGCAGGTGACGCCCTCGTAGCCCGGCAAGCATTCGCACCGGTAGCCGTCAATCAGGTCCACGCAGGCGGCCTCTTGGGGACAGGGGGAGCTCTCACACTCATTCACGTCTGGGCCGATGCAGGGAAATTCATATCAAACAAGCACCAAATGAATCGTCCGACAAAAAACTACTCTTTTAAAGTGTTTGGGCTCCTGAGCTAGTTCCAAGCTGCCTCTTTCTCCGTATTAAGCTTTCAAACTGTACTGAAGTCAGCAGGAACCAGTTAAAACAACAGTTGTTGCTACAAACAAACTCGGGCAGCAACATTTTGTCAACCAGTTGATGATTTTTCTGGTGCCAAGGATTTATTTGTGCACGGGTTACTTGAGAAATTCAACCAGGGGCATATAATGAATTGTGCCATCTTGAATTGAAAGTGAGGCAAAACATTTCATTTTTTTCATGAAAAATCACAGACAAATTAAAGGCTCGATGCAAATGCATGCCAGTTTTTGTTTAGAATTTGTAAGAAATGATATCTAATTATTGAAGCCACATTCGAGCAAAAGGAAGGTTTGGAACCCAGAAGAGTCTGGCACCACAAATTCAATTGAAAATGACAGATTTTAATGAGGGGGAATGATATACGAAAATGGCTCCCAGGAGTAAGGCCTATCAAACTATCACACTTCATCCATGTCTCCTCCTACCTATGCACTGGTCTACGGATGTCGAACCTTCCCCCAGGGTTGTGCCGTTCCCTGGGCACACGATGCAGTGCCGTTGCTGGCTCCTGGGTTGGTAGGTGCGATGCTCGCATGGCCGGCATGGCGCCAGCCCCGTATCCGACATGCTGCCGGGCGGGCAAAGCTCTGGAAATGAAAAGAACGGGCAAATTTGTTGCCATTTGAGACGTCGACAAGCGACTCCAAGTTCAGACGGTGATGAGACAGACCTTAGTTCAGCTGTAACAATTCAAGTTCTGCCCTAACCATGCCAACTATGACAAGGCTCTGTGAAAATTTCCAGGCGTCTCCCTAAGCTATGTGGAACAAACCTCAATCCCCTTGCTCTGTCTGTGGCTAAATCTGGCAAGAGAATATGGCCTCTTCGTACTGTGATGAACAAAACTACAATGGGACAATGATCGATTATTACCCAAACACTGGTCCACTGACTGTGCTCCGAAGTCCAGGGTGGTGGTTCCCTCGGGGCATGTTTGGCAGGACGTCTGGCCTCGCTGCGCTTGGTACCTTCCCATCATGCATCTGGTGCAAGGGGTAATTCCGTTGTCAGAGAAACGGCCAGCTGAACAGATTTCTGTTGGGTTAAAAACACAAATTACACTACACAGCTGAACCTGTCGCTCCATGTAATTCAGGTGGAAAATTGACCTCACTAATTCCTTCATGTTTCCTCGATGAGACTTCTCTGAACCTAAGAAGAAAGCAGCATGGTGACATGAAATGACACTTAGAAAACATGAGCATGGTGACATGAATTGACACTTAGAAAACATGAGCATGGTGACATGAAATGACACATAGAAAACATGAGCATGGTGACGTGAATTGACACATAGAAAACATGAGCATGGTGACATGAAATGACACATAGAAAACATGTGCATGGTGACATGAAACGACACATGAAAAAACATGAGCATGGTGACATGAAATGGCACATAGAAAACATGAGCATGGTGACACGAAATGACACTTTGAAAACATGAGCATGGTGACATGAAATGACACTTTGAAAACATGAGCATGGTGACATGAAATGACACATGAAAAACATAAGCATGGTGACACGAAATGACACTTTGAAAACATGAGCATGGTGACATGAAATGACACTTAGAAAACATGAGCATGGTGACACGAAATGACACTTTGAAAACATGAGCGTGGTGACATGAAATGACACACAGACTCTAACGTATGCAATGAATTGCAATGCAACAAAACAACCATGAAAGGTTCTTGAGAACCAAAGTGAAAAACTAACATCCTTCATATCCACATGCTGAATTCCATTCCTCAGATTTGACACATGGGACTTATTTCACAAAGGAGGTCACAAAATTAAAAGTGACGAGAAGGAAGGTTAATTTGGGCCGAAGCTAGCTCTGCTAGTAGCTGAAGTTCAGAATCATGAAATGGTCACATTGTACTTGGATAAAAACTGGGGAAAAAATGGTTGTGCATCTTAAAGTGAAGACAAACACAATTTTACAAAGGTTGAGAAAAGGCCCACGGAACGTTACCTCTGCACGAAGTTGCGTTCTTGGTCCCTTCAGCTGCCGTTGTAGTTCCAGGGGGGCACGGAATACATGTGAGTTGTGCTTGCTCCTCCTGATAAGACCCTCTGGGACACAACTGGCACTCCACGGTGGAGGCGTTATACATGGTTCCCGCAGTGCAAGCAGCTGATATATGTGGACAGATCAACAGGGCATAGATTTGGAAATGGCGTTATGTGCTTGCGGATCCACAGGGCAGAAGTTGTGACCTTATCCCCTCTCCAATTTTTTTCCTCTCCGCCTTTCTGAATCTTCCGCAGTCAACCGGCAATTACAAGGAGCAGCTATGTGTTCTGTGCACATATTCAGGTTTCGGCCCTGCTTGGGTACCATTGCATCGCGTGTTCATGCCGTTTGGAATCGTAAGTAGTGAATTGGGTGGATGGGGAAAAATCCACCCCGTCCCAAAAAAAATGAGGGGCAGTGTTCATGTTGGCTTTTGTCAGTCTAATAAAAATGGCAGGTTTTTCAGGGGGGGAACTGTTCAATATCCTTTCCTTTCACAGTCGCACCAAAATGCAGCCCTGACATTGAGAAAGCCCATGCAAAAACTCTTCCAATTCCCCTGCCCTTCAAAAAACGCGACTCTCTCTACCCCAAAATTTGGTTCCGCATCTGCCCTCCCCAGAGATAGCTTGACAAACAGAGAGTCAGTCCAAAAACTGACGTGTCTTGCTTGGAAACTTTGGACATTACTGCAACAAAGGGATTATGGACACAACAGATAACGGCAGGAAGTGGTACAAGTGTGGGTTAAGTTTTTTGTCTCACCACAAACGTAGGCGTCGTTGTCTGGAATATATCCCTGCTCGCAGAGGACCTCGGCATATCGGTACCCCAGGGAAGTCTCATCCAGCTCCACGTCTAAACCGGGCACCTGGAGAGGGGGGATGCTTCCGTTGAGCATCCTGTAAAAGAGTCTATCGGCTGCTCGCATCATCGCCGCCTCAGCCTCGAGCACGACTGCACGGCTGCTGACGTTGGTGGCAGGCAGGAAGGGGGCCCGGATGTCAAAGCTGATGGTCGCCTCCCAGGAAACGGTTGTTCGGCGCCGCCTGCGCCGTGACCCTGTAGGTGGGGCATGGGCTGATCTTTGCCAGCGGCCCCGGTGGACGTCCCCACGCTGCGGAAGGTCCACACTTCGGCGGCGACGGCTGCGCGGCCCGCAGTGGACCTGCACGTTCTGGACAGTGCAGTTAATGTGTTGGTTGCACTCTTCGAGAGATCCTGAATCCTCCAGGACCATGATGAAAGCAGCAGCGATGCTCTCCATGGTCGACTGATTGGTGCAATCGCCCGTGAAGTACTTCAAGTTAGCCTTAAGATCCGTTAAAAAAGGATTTCGAGTTTCTATTGAAATGAGAGAGAATGTTAGCATCGTATTAGCAATTGACCCATATGATGTGCACATTCTAATTGGAAACTTGGCAGATCCATGCCTCCAAAAGAACAGAATAGGTGGGGGTTTTGAAAAATAATGCCTTAAATGCAATTATAGGAGATTGTTTTATTTGCCTTTCATTCACAACCGCGTAAAAACACCAAAATACAGCCTAAACTCTCTGAAAGGACATAAAAGGTTGAAAAAAAATAATTCTCAAAATGTTTGACTCCACCCCCGAATTTTGTGACTGGTCGCTGGAGATCAATTTAGCGACATACAGCTGGCAAGATGATAGCGTGCCAATTTTTTTTCTTCCAGGTGCCTGACAATCGCGCCGATGAGATCATTGGGATGGTCTTGCCATACCAGAACAGTCAGGCAATTCGTCTGCCGGTGGGTGCCAAGTGCCGTCCGGCCTGCATTCAAAGTCATCGCCAGGTTCATGGCTACTGGTCCTCAGAACCATAAACTGGTCGTTGCAATGGAAGGCGCAGAAACGGCCCAGCGAGTCACAGGCCAGGGCACCGTTGGCGGGAGTATTCAGGGGCAGGCACGGTGCATCTGTTTATAGGGAACAAATGGACCGTGTGAATGCAGAAACAGGGTAAAAGGTAGGTGACTTTGACATCACGCAACAGCAAAAGTGCAACCAAAGTGCAACTATTAAGTTTCAATCATTTTCCACCACTTTTCCAAAATCTTCCAAACATTTCTGACATTTCCAGCGATCAGTGTACAAATATTTTGTGGTTTGAGGTTGTAGGTTTTGAATACTGTCAACGCTTAGCTCCTGAAGGTTTGGAAACTGCCAAACTAGTTCTCGGGGCAAAGCCAGTTGAACTTACACACGATCATGAATGGACCAATGAGGCTTTGGCCGATGATCTTGAATATGAACGAGATACGGTGAACGCAAATAGCAAATTACACACACATTGCACTGACGTCATCTAACAAAGAGACAGAATCCGTGTTTGGTTACCGTTCCATGATTGTACAGGAACGCAATTAAATACAGTGATTACATCTTGAAAATTCAAGACACCTTTCTTGTAGCTAACTGACGGAGGCCATTCTGTAAACTTTCGTCCCCGTATAATTTAGCGGTCAGTATTTGTAAATGGGTCTGTCTCAAATGATGTCACTTCCTACTGAATGCCACGTGCATCAGCATTTTGGGCGTCAATTTTTCCCCAAGACGGGCCCTCCACTGCACCTTATTTTGAAGATATTTTGATCAACACGGGCGCGTATAAGTTGAACATGTTGCATATACACGCATACATGAGAGTAGTCTATTAAAAGAAGGGCCTAGTGACTTACATTCGACCACCACTGTGAACTGGCACGTGGCCACCTTCCCGCTGTCTGGGTCCAGCGCCACGTAGATCACCATGTGAGTGCCGACGGGGAAGTCGAACGTGTTGCCTTGTCCCCGGTTGTTGGTGATCAGCAGATTGTCTCCCGATGGGTCTCGGAATCTGGGTTCCTCCCAGGTGAATTCAGTAATGCGTGCTACAGCGATGACCCTGTAGCCATCGGATGGGCAGAAAATGACCTCCGGTTCTCTCTCATCTGTCACAAAGGGTAAAGTTTAGATTTTCCGTTTGTTTATTCTTCTCTCCAGTGATTGAGGGGTGCAGGCCGGCGGTCACAGATCAGGAGGTTGGGGGTTTGAATCCAGCTGCTGACCGCAAGTTGTGACCTTGGGCAATCCACCTCAAACTGGCATACAGCTGGGGATCGATCTGACGTCCCATCCAGGGGAGAAGAAAGAATGTTCTTGTGCAATCGTATCATGCTGAGGAAACTGGGATAAACACTGTCTCTAACCCTAACACTCCTCAGTCCTCCAACAGGTGAAGGATTGAGGAGGGTTAGGGTTAATGAGCCTAATGGCTCAAGATGGACTTCTTCTTTTTTTTGGCTTTCCTCCAGTAATGAAGCCTAGGCTCCAAACTAAAGGCCAAAGGCACCGTCGGGTGGCAGCTAGCCCGAAAAAGTAGATGAATGACTTTTAAGAATGATTCCACGGGAGAAATGGAGTGCACGTTGAACTGCGATAATAATTTGGACAACCACAAGAAACAGGCAGGCAGGTGAAAAGTTCAAGCACTCATTGGCCTGGGTGGGTTTGAAACCCCCGTCGGGGTATGAGCCACAGATAGACGATATAAGGGTCGAGACTTTATCACGGTAACACACACTTACCCAGGAGGTGGACTGAGAACATGCATGTGACTGAGTTGTTGGCCGTGTCGATGAAGGTAAAGCTCACTACGGTGGACTCCGTGAATAGGTAGGGTGAGGTGATATTGGGCGGTGAGATCACCAGAGACAGGGTACCGGGCAGGCCGTTGTCTTGAGCTGTTGGGGTGTCAAAGCTCACCAATGCCCCAGCCGGGTCGGTGAGATTGGCGTAGACTGGCCCCGGGCAATAGGTGAGGAACGGTGCCGCTTGATCTGATGAGGAAACAAGATGGCGATAAGGGCAACATAATTTTAGCTTCTCTCAAACTGTGTCTTCATCTAGCACTTGACCACTTGTTTCAAAAATTGACTGTTGGAACCACATGAAAATAACTCCTAAAGACAATTTCATGTGACAATTTTTTATTTCTGTACGCCCCCCCTAAAAAACTGCTCTGGGCTCTCGGGGTAAATCCAGGACTCCAAATCCTTAAATTGAAGTCAGAAGATGCAGACTGAGGTGAAGCTGAAATAAAATGAGAAAAGAAATCCTCTGCGATACCTTCACAGCTCGTTGGCAGATTGGCCAGACCGCCCTCCCAGAGCCCTTGCTGTCCACATCTGACTGACAAGACACTCCCACCAGAAGGAACGAAGCCATACAGACAGAGGACGGTGCACAGGGTACCAGCTGGCGGACTGCCAAAAGCACAAATCTGCGGAACAACTTGCATGCCGTTTGGAAGCATCAGGCTATCACAGCTGACCACTGCAAATCACAAATATCGACAAATATGAACTTTAACATCAGTGTTTAAAGCTCAAGCTCACAAGTGGAGGTTAACCACCCATAGGTAGTTATTGGAATAAATAAATAAAAAACAAATAACTTTTAGAAATATCAACGGATGTAATCTGTAGATTTGCCAATGTTCACATGATAATGTCAGCACTTTGGACGCACCACATGCTTTTAAGTATGGGACAGTGCAATTGTATGTCTCTTTGTTTGTC